GTTAGAATTGCTAAACTTCATAAAAAAATGGTACTATTGATTCAACCAGCAAATAGGGAGGAGATTTATCCAAAAACAAGAAATATAAAGTAGATCCTATGCTTGCTCAGATTATTGGATTAAAAGGTCTAGAGTCGACAAGAAAAGAAATTTAGGATACCTTTATTGAATTCGCCATTGACAAGGGAATAGTAGATATGAGCACTAGATAATACGAGATATTCAAGGTTCCTTATTTGAAGGAGAAATTCCAAACTGATTATGTGGGCCCTCAAGAGATATTTGCTTACTTGAAGAAGCTATTGGTCCAAATTAATAATTGATTGATATTAGTCATAATTTAAATAATAATTAATGAAATATAAGCTTTTTGAGTTTTTATTCTAGTATTTGAAGCAATAGTATAATAATCTCATTCTAATGAACATTAATAAATTAAGCTGACTGTCAAAAGCCCATTTTTTCTTTAGGAATTTTGTTGTATAAATCCTCAACATTATGAAAAGTATTGTTCACATTTTGAAAAGTTGATTGTATAAACTTACTAATGCTTTGAATACCTGATTCAATGCCCTAGTTGATTGATTCATGCTACTTATCAGTTGTCTCCCTAAATAATGTGATTACAACTAGTTGATAATTACTCATAAAGTATGCCAAAGGCGATTAAAACAATAATCAAAACTATTGAAAGTTGGAATAGAATTTTCATTCCAGCTGTGAAAATCCAAATTGGAGTCATAATCAAGTAGTAACTATTTCGATAATTTAAAATCTGATGAATTCTATTTCTTACTAAAATACTAAATTTTCTGCAATCGTTAAAAGAATTCCACTGAGCAATATAAAATCATGCATAGAAGTTAATCCACTCAAAAAGTCATTTGTGTATTAAGCGATGACTCCTGAGAATGAAGGATGCTTGTCTAGAATGTAGTCAGATAATGAAAATACAATTCTTGGAAATTTCTATAAGAATATCAATAAAAATTCAAAACTTACCTAAGGGCATTTTTCCATAAATTTAGAGTCGATTTATTGCCAGTGAAATCCATACTATTCATTTCTCCCGTTGACGTATTTTTAATGAACAGATGATAGATGGTTCTGGCCGTATCTACAGGTAAGAATGGCTGAGTGTGATAATAGGAGATATAAGATCCCGTAAAAGCTGAATAGAGTTGAAATTAGCTTTAACATTTTTAGTTTAAGATTATAAAAGTATGCAAATACTTTAATTTAACGATTACATTTCTAATAAGACTATAAAAATAAATGCAATCTATTGGGGTTTTGGGGTTTTGGGGTTTTGGGGTTTTGGGG